TCCCCCCACATCTTAGTGTCATCAGCAAATTTGAACAGGGTGCTTTTTACCCCCTTGTCCAAGGCACTGATGAAGATGTTGAACAGTGCGGGCCCGAGGACCGAGCCCTGGGGGACCCCACTGCCCACACCCCTCCAGGTCAAAAATGACCCATCCACCACCACTCTCTGGGTGCGGCCCTCCAGCCAACTCGTGATCCATTTGACTGTGTAGGTATCGACACCACAGTCCCCTAGTTTTTTAATGAGAACAGGGTGACAGACAGTGTCGAAGCCCTTCCTAATGTCCAGAAAAACTACGTCCACTGCTACCCCTGCATCTAAGGCTTTGGTGACCTGGTCGTAGAAGGCCACCAGGTTGGTCTGACAGGACCTGCCTCTAATGAACCCGTGTTGGTTGCCCTAAGCATAACCTCCCCTGCTGGCCCCTCGTGGATATGCACCAGGATAATTCTCTCAAAAAGCTTACCCAGGATCGAGGTAAGACTAACTGGCCTATAGTTTCCTGGGTCCTCCTTCCTCCCCTTTTTTGAAGATGGGAACCACATTGTCCTTCTTCCAGTCCTCTGGCACCACACCAGAGCACCACGAGTGCTCGTACAGCCATGCCAGGGGTCTCGCAATGACCTCTGCTAATTCCCTCAGCACTCGGGGGTGGAGATCGTCTGGACCGGCTGTGACCAAAAATGACCTGTCAACTCCTTTGGCAGGTCATTTTTGACAGGGGTTTGGTTAATCTAACTGAGGGCTGCAGGTAGATTAAAGTTACAGTTCATTTTCTATGTGTTACTCATTAATCTATTCCCCTACTATTTTCATTAACTTTTTGATCAGAAGATTGTCATTGCCTCCCCCCCTCCAAGTCTCATGGGACTCTGTGAATCCTACCTTTTGTGTAGCAGCCTAAGTGAATACATTCTTGGTCTCTGGTGTTTGATCTTTTCCTTAGCTCATGGTGGGTCTCTGTAGAGGTGACTACTCTTGGGGAAGGACACTGCTGTTTTTATTCTGCTCCTTTAGGGCACACACATATACATGTATGAATCCCCTACTCTCTGAACCTTTAGCTATGCTGAAAAACCTACAGAGTGCTTAGTGCCAGCCTGTGCAATGCTTAATTTCTCTGCTCAGCATCTCTTCCAAAATAGGAGAACTCAGTTCAATTTCAATTTAATACATTCATTCCTCTCCCTATATTTCAAAATGACTATTCACTACATTTTTCCAGAGGCTGTATTGTTCAGCTATTTATGCCCAGCAGCCACTACTTTTATGCCGTTCTAACAGTTATTCCTGAAGAAGAGCAGGTTAGGGTCTATTGTTCTTTGTGCACCAAAGTACCCTTTAATGTAGTTGATGAGCAGAGATATGTCCCCACACTTTTACTATTGTGCATTTTTATTCCCAGGGCCCTGTCAATACTGGGTGTTGTACCATGTACCAAGATACCAGAATACCTGTTTGTCCAGTATCAGGTAAATCCCTCCCTATGTCCATAAGACAATGCAACACTTTCAGCTGTTATCTGACTGAACTCCTCACCCCTCCAGCTAGCAAAAGAAGAAATAATTCGGTGTCCATGGTTCAGGGTTTCAGAGTTGGGCTTTATAAGAATGCCACAACCTGCTTTCTATATTTTAAGAGACTTTTAGAGCCATGTGTGCTCTTTCTGTACATCTATACCTGGATGCCTAAACCAACAAAAAGTTTTTCATTTAGGATTGCTCTTGGGGTGCTTAAAACAGGACTATGGGAAGCTGCAGCTTTCATTACTGATGGAAATGCACCGGGACAGTCTGTAAGAACTTGATGTACAGGACCTTCACTAGCTATTGAAGTTACTGAATCCATTTCATACTTAGTACAATGTCACTACAAAAGCATGAATTGAGCCCACAGATTGGATGGCACAACCTCACATGGACCCAGTTTTGTTAAATGTTGGGCACCACTAATTTCAACTGACATCAAGATTTGAGCCAAACATTTGAGGCAAAATTGGTAGGTTCTGCCCAGTGCAACTGTATTTACCCTATTTTGCTAACAAACAAATCATCTGGCTTGTGCCCACGCACCAGTATCAGAAGCAGGATTTTACCTCCCTTCTTCTGATTGCCGGCTCTCATCTAACCTGCCAAAACACAGCTTTCTTACAATGACTATAATCCCTTTCCTGTTCTTGTTAGGAATAAATCCTGGAGAAGTTGCCACTGGCAAACATCTATTCATCTGGCGTCAACAAAGCAAAAGAACAACTCACTACCCTGCTCTCTCCTCTTTTTACTCTCCCAGCTTATCCTTGAGGCCACTGAGTGCAACAATATAGCATGTTACAACTGAAAATATACAATGGGAAATGTCTTGGAAGGGTTTAATTGTTTCCTCCTTCTCTATTTGAGAAAGCAATCGGTAACATCAGCACATCTCATCACCCTGAAAGCAAAAGTAGCAAATCTGATAAAATGTGAAGAGTGTGTTTATTTGGACTTCGGAAACTCAACAACATTTTCCGGGAATATCCTCCGGTCATAATCATCCTTAGCACAGCCCAAGGATGACAGCAGGAAGTGACATTTACTTGTAATCACATTATGTAAGTCACCGTTCTCAACACTATGTTGATTTTTATTATGTTTTATTTTTCTATATTTTTTTCTTGGTTTTCTAACCCCAGCTATTTGCCCTGTTGCCCTGGGTGACCTGAGCCCTGCTCAGAATCTAAAACCTGCCAAAGTATTTTTTGGAATCTCCTTTACACAAGATAAGATCTCCAGGATGGTATGTTGGCATGAGTATTTAACTTCAGGGTTCGAGTGTTTGCCATTTCTGTTTTTCTCTTTGCTACTACCTGGAAGGATGAAGAGAAAGATTTGTTCTCCTGTTCTGGGAAGGTCCCTAGGTGTTCCAAAACGAGGGATTAGAAAGATGGTTTTAGAATGCACAGTGGATTAGATCCTCTATTGCAATAAACTCACAGTATTAGGGGAGGCAGAGATAACCCTAAGAGATATTCCAGGAGCCACAAAGATGCCCTCTGGCCTCTGCTATGCCTCCCACCTGAAAAAGGTGTATGGGTGATGTTAAACACTGGGGGATTCCCTGCACTGGGGGAGTTCCCAGCTAATTCTTGCAGGCTGGCCCTTTAGAGTGAGGACCTGGCTCAGGGATTTTTCTGCATGCAGATACAGGCCTAATTCTCCACTGTTTTATAACGTGTCCTCACCTCCACCTGCATAAAAGAGTCTTGTTTTGTTGTCACTGTTCAGGGGCATAAACATTTACCAGGATGAAAAGCAGTGGAGAATCAGGCCCAGAACATGTAATGTCAGGATCAGACAATGGTAGTGTTATCCTGCATCGGTCCCTTAACTCAAGCAATCAACTATTAGCTGTTTGTTTTATAAAGAAGAAAACATTTTCTTTAAAATAATTCTAAAATTCTCCCTTTCCAACTGATTTGTACCGGGACCTGGATTTTCTTAGTCTTAGCCTATCCTATGAGATCATCCTTCTGCTGGAAAATGCAATGCTCCATCTTTTAAATGGCAGCTCTAATTCCACTGAAAGGCAGGCAACAGTCTGAAGCGCCACAGGCAGTGATGTAGAGTTCTGTAAACTACTTTTAAAATCTCTGTATTTGTATTTTTCCAAGGCCCCAATCCTGCAGCTGTGTAGATTGGTAGATCCCTGCATCAAGTCCCACTAAAATGGAATAGTCCACCTGCATGGATCTGATCAATGGATAAGAGCTAGGTATCGTAACCAGATTTTTCCTCCAAGGCAACCTACAACAATGATCACAAAAGTCCCATGTTAGTGACACCCAGGCAAGGCATCACATTTGTAAGCATCCCTTTAGATCAGTTGGTTAGAGTGCCGAGCTAAGGCTGTAAGTTCAAGCCCCTTATAGGCCACAAGATCTTTCCTGCCTCAGGCAGAGGGTTTGACTAGATGACCCCTTGAAGTCCCTTCCAGCCCTACTTATCTATTATTTTATGATCTGCAAGGAAGTTTCATTTAAATAGGGACAGGGTAGTCTGGGAGGAGATGGCACGGGCTTACTCAGACTTATCAGGTGCTGTTGTCAGCTCTGTGACCTTGAGCAAGCCACTTCACTTGTGCATAACTCAATTTTTCCACAGCCTAAAACAAGGACAGTGATACTTGCCTTCCTCTGGAAAGCATTTGGGATCTACGAAACAAACGTTCTAAGTAAAAGTTAGGTATTATCTTCAATATAAACTATGACCTATTTACTTATTTAAAATGTTCCACAGTTTTCTCCATGAAGCAGTTGACTTCATAAAGCAAAGGACTGCAGTGCTTAGCACCAAAGCAACAGAACAGCCGAAGAGGCTATGCCTACACATCACACCTCAGCATGAGTCAGACCCTTAGCAGAAAACTTTGATTGGGTCCAAAAGAAGTCTTAAAACACTCAGCCACCTGCAGCATGGAGTTAAGCATGAACCAACCTACCTGAGCATTTCCACTACTGTTTGCAGCATGCTTTGTGTTGCTGTGGCTGGATTATTACAGGAACCCCTAATTAGTCAGGTTAAACCTACTTCTCGCTTGTCTACAGTATACTGCAGTCATGGCAGTTCCTACAGCTTCTAAGCACCCCATTGCTATGTCTGGATTGAAAGTATAATAATATTACCTGCACACATGCAGACATACATACATAGTACATAATGAAAACTCACCGGCCACCACACCATGCTCCTCCCTGCCAAGAAGAATCCACCCACTGTCCCTCGGTTGGTTGAGTACATAGCCTGCAAGACAAAATGATTAGATACATTTGAACACTTCAGTTTTCATTATGGCTGGCCTGCAAAACCAATGCTAAATACTGGACATGTTAAAAGACAATACGAACATGATGCAAGAAACACATCATTATGCCGAGGCTTATGCTTGCAAACTCATATGAGCACTCCTTTCAGGTGAGTAGTCTCCTTGATGTTAGGCTCCCAAAAAGCCAATGTTGCAGTAGACAAGATATAGCCAGCCTCCTTTTTCCTCAAAGGATGGACCAATCTTCTGTAGGAATCTACTGTCCGGTTCTGATGATATCACCAATATACCCATGCTCCACTTGTCAGTATTTCTGCATTTCCACAGAGTGGACAGGTGAGAATGATGGTCCTCAATCTCATTTTAGATCTGACAGGCATGGATTTTACAAGGAATTTTTCTCAAAGTTTTACCAAGTCTTCATCCAAAGCTATTTGTAAACAATGTATTCCCCATACTTTCAAAGGACCTTGGTTCCTGCCCATACAGGGGGCATATTTGAGCCAAAGCAAGCCAGATCTCTGATCCTGATATAGAAGCAAAGAAGTAAATAAAACCCAGTTACATTTCACTACTCAAAATAGTTGAATCAATATTTATCAGCATTGTCAGGGAGAGACAACCTTTCAAAGCTATTCAGATATTGGAAACTGTAGTGCCTCAGTGTCCAATATGCCTCTTCTGCTCCTGGGAGTTTAGTATTACAGAGGTTAACTACAAACTTCTAGGCAGATTGTGCTTTAACACCCAAGCCTGGCTCCCTCGCCAAACTCCCCAGTATCCTGTGGGAGGGTGTATGCTACATCATTCTTTAGTGGAGACTTCAGATCATGCTTTGAGGGGAAGAAGGGTATAAGGCACAGAAAAGTCTCTCATATACTCTGACCTTTGACAACCACTGAACTACGGCTTATGAAAGTTTATGCATCTTTGATTTAGTTAGTTTATAAGGTGCAAACCTACTCTGCCTCTTGCCAAAAGAGTACACCAGCCAAAACTAATGGCCATTTTGCATCACCAAAGTGGTAACCAAACACTAATGTGTGTCCCTCAATAGTTTATCACTTCTCAAAACTCTTCCAGGCTGCTCAAGTGGAAGATTTTGCCTGCCTTTGCTTACTTACTCTATGACATAGTCTGTGAGGTTTTTTGGAGGTAGCAAAGGGCCACTGAGGAAGGAGCGTTTCCCTGACTCAGTCCTTTAGCTGTCAGCTCTTTTCTTGGAGAAGACAGTTTGAGTTCTCCTCAGACATATCTGCTCCCAAGAGTGACATTCAAGTGTTTTCTACTAAAGCACCATCATAGCAAATACTATCTTCCCTCTACCTTTGAACCCTGCAGTATCTAGAGTTACTTTAATGGGGCAATCTCTCTCCTTTACCTGTTAGATGCAAAAATATGTATTTTGTCAAAGATAAGTCACAAAAAGTGCCTGATCCACACTTCCTGGGCAAGGAGGAGATGACAGAATTTTACTTGGACATTAAACGAAGATGACCACAGCACCAGCAGCATTTGCACTAACTGAGGCTGGGTCTTCCTGCAACCTTCTGCCTGCGCTTTCGCATACATCCTGCAGCATTTCCCAGTGGCCATCTGCCACTCTATTGCCATTCCATGACACCGTGGCTTCCATCCCAGTCACAATTACTTACAACACAAAACAGTATTTACATGACCTTCCTATCCCAACAGCCCCCACTACAATCTCCATTCATCCACAAACCAGCTTTAGCCCACTGCCTACCCCACTATCATACTCACTCCCATGGAAACATCCTCTGCTCCATCATTAGATCTTATCCATCCATCCCTACTATCAACCCATTCCTACTTCATTTCCCCCTTCTTCCTTACAAGGACCTTTCTCTAGCCCAAGTCCCATCTATCACCCATCTCCCTGACATCTTGATACTCCCTCCTCTGCCCTTAGCTTAAGCCCAAGCCCCAGCTGTCCTCTCTTTGAACTATCATCTTGCCACCTTCACTCCTACTCTCAACCTCACTCCAGGGACTGACGTCCCCAAGGAACTGCATCACAATTCCAACCCATACACCCTCAAACCATCCTTTCAAATAAGCAGCAGGTAATTTATACAACTATAACTTTATTTTACAAAGCCATTCCCTTTAAACTCAATAAAATATTCTATGTAACAAAAGAAAATCCAAACATACCCATAATCCCACTGCCAGGACTACCACAAAATAGGTGACTATGACAGAGATGTCTGCAGGATTATTGATCTTGTAGGAGGAATCCATTCTGCCTGCTTTTCTGGTTCCCTCCTTTCTCCTCTTCTTATATTTCGTTTGCAGACTTCAGGTTAATGATAAACCTCCTTCGCCCCTCTCCGTCTTGTATAATATATAACTTTGATTCACTTATTTCTATCAGGTGCAAGTTGAAACTGGTGCTTTTCCTTGATCTGTGATTTCCTCCAAAGAAACTGTTCCCTGTTACAGGTGCAGCAGATCACAGAGCCAAAAGTCCTGAGTACACTTTCCCTGCCAAAGGTGCTCAGAGTTTCAGCACCTAAGAGCAGGTTCATAAGAAGGCGTGAGCAATGGAAGGAGTGGCTTGCCCACAATAAACCCAGTGTATTCACCTCACTGCTTTTGAATACTCCTTTCTGGAGCTGTTGTTCCTGTAAAGCTGGTCATGGAACATGTTGTTCATCTGAGAGCAGGATGCTTGCTAATTACCAACCCCAAAAGAGGAGTGACCCAACACAGGGAAACCCCAGGGGTCCAGGAGCTGAGACTCCTACTGTGCCATTCCCTATCCCAGCATGAATAGACACTAGAGTTGCATCCCTGTATTTCTGAGTAGAAGGTATTAGGAAGCTGCTTTGATTTCTTACATGTGGACATTTACTGAGATGCATCTGAGATACAAAGCTGAGATCCAGAAGTGAACCTTTCCAGAGATTAACATAGAGAAACTAACAGAGTTGTCAGACTAACACACCTAACTACTTCCCTCTACCTTCAGAGTTTGGGATGCTCAGGTGTAGGGTTTGGGAATCTGCCTACTGCGACTACCCACATAGCTCCACTTCACATTCGAAGGACCCCAAAGTTCAGCGGTCCATGGATTGGGACCCATCTCCAGTGATCTATTCATCCTTAGACTTCAGAATTAGACCAAGCAAAATGACCTGACAAATGGGAACTCAAAGATGTGAGGCCAACTGCAACTAGTTCTCCCTCAACATGACAGGAAATTGAGGGTCTCAGTTGGATGACTCAGGTGCCTTTACACTAATGAGGCAGTACACCTCCTTGGAGACCAACATCGGCTCCAGGGAGAAGTGGTTTGAAGCCCTCTGGGTCAAACTACGGAGGCAGAGGGGGGGCACAGTGAGAGAGACCGTGTCATAGGTGCGCACTACAGACCAACAAACCAGAGGAGGAGCTCAATCTGGAGTTCTCTCAAAAATTTGCAGAGGCCACTCACACATGGGATATAGTCATCATGGGCAAATTCAATTACCCAGACATCTCTGGGGAGGAACATTCAGCTAAGTCGGACCACTCACGTTGCTTCCTGACCTGTATCAAAGAACTCTACCTGACTCAGGAAGCACACAGGTCAACCACAGGTCATGCTCTCCTAGACTTGGTCTTGGCCAAAGGAGATGATCTGGTGAGTGACTTGAATATACAGGGTAGCCTGGGCAACAGTGACCACAAAACCAACATGTTCACTTTACATCACAAGGCAGGCAAACCAGCTAGCAGGGTTGGAGTTCTGGACCTCAAAAAAGCAAATTTCAACAGGCTCAGGGCAACAGTAGGGGAAGTGTTGTGGGACCATGGACCAAAAGTGAAAGGAGCACATGAAGAGTGGATGTTCCTCAAGGACGCTATTCTCAAAGCACAAAAGAAGTCCATTCCCATGCGGAGGAAAGGTAGCAGAAGGGCTGGGAAGCCCTCTTGGCTTATTAGGGATATCATGGTCCTCTTGAAAAAGAAGAGAAAGGCATACAAACAATGGAAGCTTGGGACAAGTTGCCAAGAAGGACTAAACAACAATGGCCTGCACTTGTAGGGAGCCGATTAGAAAGGCTAAGGTGGCAGATGAATTTAATCTAGAAATGGAAATCAAGGAAAATAAGTCCTTCTTTATATATGTAGTGAACAGGAGGAAAACAAATGGACGCATCATTTTTTTTTCATTATCCAGTTGAGTAGAATGTTAAAATTAGCCTCATGGCATAAACACTTTTCAGTATTTCCATTTTCAGCTTTCTAAGGTTTCATTGGTAAGATAATACTTTTTATGTACAATATTTTAAGCACAGCATTCTTGAAAAGAATTCTTTGAAGTACACATTCAGAGATATAATCTTTTTCCAAGCCAGGAGAGAAATACTCTTCACCTACTGCAGTGAAAACTGATTTATGGTGACACCCAAAGATGCAGGGAAATAGGTGTATATTTATACCACCAACTGACACTAATATCCATGTAATGAAGTATAGAAATGCATGATAAATTACACAAACCATACATTTCTACTATTATTCCCACCATCCACATGACCACCTTAAAGCACTTTCTCTCTTTTCATCTATACTCTAACCAACATTGCTTGAATCTGTGACTTATCTTGTGTTTGTCTAATCTTATTTAGGGCATAATCTGAATACCATAAAAAAAAAAATCAATACAAAACTCCCTTTCAGTTCAATGACAGCAAGAGTCAGCTGATTCTGCTGAGTATCATATTAAGTTAATTTTTATCAGTCATCATAATAATTTGTGTATAAAAATAGGGCTCCTAATTTTAGGTTTAGCTGATGAACCCATTAGAAATATCCCTGATAATAAAAATGAAATTTGCATTTATCTAATACACAGTGGAAATGGTTACTTAGCGCAATTTGTTTATTTATTTTTGTTACTCAGTGCAATAGCCCTGCTTCCTGATTCATATTTAACCATAATCTCTCCTGAAACTTTAAACCTACCCTAACTGAATGGCAGAAAAATTCCTACATTTTTACTGGACACCCCTAAAACAGGATGGATTGTATATCTGTATAGGGCTTAAATTAGTTTCTGTTAAGAATTGTGGGTACAATTTTA